TTGAAAATATCTTATTGCATAATGTTGGGAGAGGCCTCAGACCTATGCAATATGAGCAATATGCATTATGGTAACCGTGCGAAAACATTACTTAATTAGGAAACCAAATTCGATATTGCTTTTCAATTTATTTGAAGACATATACACTATGACAAGAAAATAAGCACATATTTAGAGCATCAAGAAAGACAACCAAGACAATGACAAGTACAGTAAATGTGTATATTACTGTAAAACTCAAGAAATAGTTTGTAATACAAGGAAATACAGTCAGAATCTGTAGAAACAAAAAAATAGAAAAAGCTAGTCAATGCAAATAACTTTCCCCCACATATCATGAAGAGATCTTTGCTGCCCTATCTTGGTCTTGTGGCAGCATTGAAGACATTGTAAGCAATGAAATGTTAATCAGAAACATTCTTTTTGTATTGAAGTATGTTAGAGAACAATATGTGAGGCTTCTGGGTACAAAAATCACAACAGTAAGCAGTCTAATTTCCCAAAATGCCCAGAATTTTGCATAATTTTCTCACAAATCTTGATACAATATGTAATAGACTATTTTTGTGCATAATTCCCTTATCCTGAGCTGGGATTAGGCAGAAAGCTATACAATATTCAATTTATGCATTATAATGTGATGCAATAAGGTATTTTCAACTGTAGTCTAATAGACCTGTGATAAAGTTTATAAAGAGCTCTGTATTGTATAATCCCTCAATTATTATACAGTCAATAATACTATCTACAGAAATCCTTAAGAGTATAAAATATCTAACAACTGTAAGTATATTCTACAGGTTTCCAGATTTCAGGCTTACTGTTTCTCATACATGAAGAATGTCTTTCAAACAGTATGTAAACCTTCTAAAGCCTATACCTAATCTTACATGTAAGTTCTTCAGTCTACTACACTTTCATTAATAAAGACAAAGAGTTTTCAGTTAGAATACTGTAAAGTAATATGTATCCTAAATTGTACACACAATTCCTCATTCTATTCTTATACATGTTGTATAATCTAAAGTATCTTAATCTTACAATTAGCTGGTTAGAAAACAAGGAACTAACCTTCTTTAAAGTAAATCCAACCCTTCTCAAAGTCCTTCAAATTGTTGTATTTAAGCATTTAACCTTATACTATCATTCAAGCATTTCCCTTAGCTCATCCAGATATGTGTCATTCTAGAATTCTAGTACACTATACAGAAACTAACATTTTGCCCCTTTATTAGGCTATACAATGTTGATCCATTGTAGAGAACCTACACACATATTATTATAACCTAGTAAGTATGGCCTACCTAGTCTTACAAGTGTCTCTTCTATAGGACCAGATTCTGACCATGTTTACAAAGTATAATAAACTGTAGATTGTAGAACACTAAGGAAATACAATATGTCTTTGACTGATAAACTACAGACTTGTTACATTCAGACAATAACACTTTGTATTTGTGCTAGAAGGGTCATACTTATAAAAAGTAAGAAGATGTGTAAATATACTGTATAAAAACATACTTAATCAAGATTTAGATACTCTTTTTTTGTCTTAAGAAAGGTATAATGACTAAGATTGCCTAGTAGACAAACTAACTAGAGAGTGTAAGCTTAGAGGACAAGTCAAATGACACTAACATGTTAGAAACATGCTTATGTGAGAGTTAACTTATGAGAGCAAACAGATCATTCTAATAAGTCATTTTAGACAGTCTACCTATCTTTTCTGTTATAACTGACTTCTATTTATTGTGTCAAAATGTATTTGCTCTAAAGCTACAGTTGCCCTCTGCCCTACCTTGTATTGTTCTACTATTATACTATCTGAAGCATCTAATAGTAAACTGGTCTCAGAGAAGGAAGCACAAAAGAAAATCCTATCTCTAAAGGCTAGGGAAGCAGCTCAAACAAAGGCACCTAAACAGTAAATGGATACTGTTTAAACAAAGTATACTGTTGGTTGTCCAAAGAAAACAAGTAGTAAGAACATACAGGTATACTTAGTATATTTACTAGTGTAAATATATATTAATATGTACCTTATTACATTATAGATTTCTATAAAGAAAAGTAAAGACAAAGAAGGTATACAACAGACAGCTAATATTGTAACAGTCAAACATAGGCCAGGATGTTCTTATAAAGGCACTTTAGCTGTAACAACACTAGCTCTGAATGTATTACCTGAGAATTCCTTTAATGTGTTACAGGTACAGTACTACAATTGTATCTACTGTTCTAATACTAATGTTAGATTCTTACAACTCCTAGACAGAATTTCCAGCTATAGAAGACAGAGTATGTATATATCTTAAATACAGTCATTTACTTATATTTTTCTTACCATTTAGAACCTTGTTAATAATGAGCTTTTTAATAAGGAGCTATCAGAATTAGAATTAGTGTCTATAGTAGCACTTATAGTATCTAATAACAAATCTGCTAGTGAAGAAATATTTAAAGATCCTGAATGTAAGCTAATGTGTTTCAATACTTTATTACTGTTTGATTTTAACTTAATAATAACAAAAGTGTCAGACAGTCAAGAGATCACACAGTAAAAAAAAGAATTTCAATTTGAAGTTTTTGTTTATAATAGTATTGTACTCAGAAGTCTTATAATAGTTTTGTCCTAGAAATGCATCTACCTTCTAGGTTGTGTAGCAAAATTGCTAGAGACTCTCCCTAGTACTATAACTCTAGTCTATAAAGCTCTCTAGTGTAAGAAACCTAGACAGAAGATAGAGGCTTACTACCTTGAAACTGACAAAAATGTATCTTAGCTTTGTTTATATTATAAGGAATACATGACTGACACAGCTTATAAGAAGAAAGGTTCTAAACCTGTTTGTAAAATTGTTCTAAGGAACATACAGACACAAGTATGTATACATATATAATTTGTATTACACTTTATTGTTTAGTAACTTTTATCAGGCTATAACAGCTCTAATAGTACTAGGTTACAATTGTAGACAGGCTAGCACAGTCAAAGCACTAGCTACCCTAAACCCAAAGTCTGAGAAGGTGAAAAACAATGTTACTAATGTTATTACTAGTTATCTAAAGAAAGTTATAGTATATTACTATTGTTCTAAGTACTCTTATTAATACTATTACACTTAGAAGAGTAACCATACTTTGTACACATATGAGTATATAATAATACATGCTAAACTATTAGTAAGTAATTATTATAACATCTTTTATTCTTGTTCACTAATACATTTATAGTTTCTAGGAGAGAAGGGGGTTATACTTGAGGAACCACTAGTATGCCTTAATCTTCTTAACTATAAGAAGCTATCAAGGTCAAAATCAGTAATAATGGTTAATCAAAGTAACTCTACTCTTAAGGTTGAGAACAACAAAAACAACAATCACTACTAAGCAGACACTTTATTTGGTAGCAAGGAAGGTATTGATTACCTAAGGATTGAGGTTTGGCTAGAGAGAGACTGTGTAAGTTGTTCAGATTGTAACAGGGATAAGTATGACTACATGTTACTTGTTCCTGTTTTTCAAGTAAACAAATTTACACACCTTAATAATGTGTCCACACTTCCTACAGCTGAGATCATACAGCTGGCAAAAGAATGTAGAATAGGGGTTTTACAAGGTCTTGCACAGTGTATAGTAAAATATGCTACTATTAACATTAAGAAATTGAAGGGAAAGGGTAGGGCAAACTTGAATATATAGAGATAGTAAATAATTGTCTGAAAGTTAGTAATACTTTGATAAAAAGTTGAAGATTGTGTATACTAAGAAATGATAATCATATTTCTGTAATATAATAAAGTACAGACTTAGTGTTTTCCTGAAATAAGTTTGTCTAAAGGTAATAAAAACTATAAGACTAATCTAAAGCCTCTAAACACAACTTTTGGTGGACAATATCAGGCTAAATAGGATTTACTTTGACAGGGAATAGTCACACATGTTTATGTCACTATACTTTCTTTCCTTGTATCTCAATAACCAACCCGGATAAATTCAATTTTTTTACAATATACTTTTCCTAGAGAGTACAACTACTTTTATGATTTAAAACAGAATTTTTGGTGGACAATGTCAGGCAGAATAGAATTTACTTTGACTGAGAATAGTTATGCATGTTTATGTTACTATACTTCCTTTCCTTGTATCTCAATAACTAACCTGGATAAACTCAATTTTTTTACAGAATACTTTGGCCAGAGAGTGGGTTTAATTTTAAATACCTTAATGAGTGTAAGAAGTTCTGTATTTACTGAGAAAATTGTGTTTTACTCTGTTCCTGACCTTTAATGAACATCTTGCATCGAAAAATCACGTGATGTGGCCATTTCAAGTAATTATGCAAACAGCAGTAACGTGACGAGTGCAATTCCTGGCTCTAGATCTGCGGCGGCGGCGGCAAACGGGGACGCATTTACCGTCACTGTTACGAACTTTAACGGGTAAATCCCATTCTTTTTCGTGTTCAACGAATACAATTCTAACCTATGCTCACCTAATGCTCAGTGGTCAGGATGGCTCGACCGAGATCACGAAGATCCTCATCGACCCATCTGGTACCAGTGCATCTTCCACTGGTGGCCCGGCAACGATCACACAGAATGGAGTCTTGGCACCCGCATCGACTGGTTCCGTGTAAGTTTCAGGCACCTCGCCTTCAGGCTCTGCGTGCGCTGGTAGCAATGACTGTGCGAGCTGCCTTGTGAGCTTCACAACGGCCGGAGGTTTCGGGAACTGTGTTCTTATTTTCAAGCCAGCGCCGATTCCGAAGCGAAGAAGGCTGTTGTAAGTGATTCAGAAGTATGATAGACGGTAATGTACTGATGTCCGTAATTGCAGAGGAGTCGTATTGCTCGTCTCGATTAAACACCTCGAGCCAGTGATTATTACGATTGAACATGGGCTGGTACGTTTTTTGCTAGGAATTTATTCGGGCTTTCTTTGGGTTCAAGCGGAATCAAATGTAATATTTGTAGATGTGTACTACAAGAAAGATCAATATGATCGATCTCTCCCTTCCTCCAGACTTGGATTGTTTGTCATGGCATAGTACGCAGGAAGACACCAAAAGAGAATCATGGTTTCCCGTCCGAGTAAACGCTCACGCAAACAAGGTGCTGGGTTTCGACTGCATAAAAATTGTCCCGACTGGAGCGGCACAAGCAACTCACGATGTTTTCCCCAAGCTAATTTTCTTTAGACCCTGGCCGTTGCATTGCGACGGTATTCCACAAAAGTTTGTGAAGGTTTACGAGACAAACATATGTAAGTGATTATCGTCCACCCAACTTTTTTTTTCGATCGCCTCATCCATTGTTTGCCCGTGCGCTGCCAATCTTAACGTATCATCGGCATTGCGAATTCTGTGGCGATATCTGTAGATAGTTTGTCGGGAAATCGAGGAAAGGCATAATCTCTAGCTCGGAAATGCTTGAATCGACTGATTTTTAGATATACTAAGTATGTATCGTCATCCATAACTTTTCCCATTAAATCTTGTCGGACGTAGCCGATATTACATCTAATATCGATGCAAACTGGACGCCAGCTTGTCAAACTATAATATCCCTCACACTTTATCACAAGTATTTCCACCCAGGGGCGAGCTCGATGCTTTGCGAACATCTGCACTTACCCTGGCTCGGGAAAAAGATTACGGCGAGACAGACCGCCTACTCTCCCCTTACGCAAGGCCCTTCTATGCGTCGTTGAAACCGAGATAAACACCGTTGGTAGAAATTATTCGTTGTTGGCTCTCCAATTTATGCGAATGGTTTGGCGTAGCAGACCACACGATCCAAGTGGACAAGCTTAATGCACACGAGAAAGTTGTGAAGTATATTGCCAGTAGGTAAGACAAACATTTCGAATCGTCCTGCATATTACTTTTCCGTACTAGAAATTTGACGCACAAACTATTAGGCATCCAAAGCGATCTTTATTTGCTCTTTGCCATTTCATAGAAGTAATTCGCGACAACATCCGTAACAGATGATTTATTTACCAAGAAATCGAGATTCTCTACATTCTGTTGGAGAAATCGGGAGTACGAGAAAACCGGTCTGGAAAGCGGAAAATACCTGTCTCCGCAGTCATTTTTAGCAACTCTGCGGCGGCCACAAAAAGCTAGAAAGGTCTATTTTGTATATTCAACTCGAAGAAAGTGCCAAGTAATAATGACTGGTGTGTCCTCGAGCTGGGGACTCTCTAAATGCAAACTCGTGCACTTATATTGCAGCGAACAGGTGAAATTTGCCGTTCTTCTACAAAAGTGAGTATTAAATGGTATTATATTGAGAGCGTATGTGCAATTACAAAGAATTTGGCTGTATGTACATTTGGACATTGTTACACAAGCTATGAGTTACTGTACAAGTTATTACTGATTATGTACCGCAAAATGGTCCGAAAACTAATGGTTGGTATAAGAAGGATAAATTATGGTGCAAAGGGTTTAAGAAATTCGTCCATTTGGTGAAGAACTGACTCCGCCACAGGTCTATTGGCAGGTTCTGAGTCCCATGTAGAACAAAGGAATGGGAAGTAAGTTACACTCGTTTCCTCCAGAGTTGCAGGTAACACGCCAGACAGTTTTTTTGTCTTCTTCTCATCAGAATCGAAAGACTGGTACGGGCCTCGCTCAAACATAGCCTGTAACATTATTTGTTAGCAGTCAACTCATAGGTATTATACAGTGTACTAATTCACCTCGAGAAAGACACAACCGAAAGAGTATATGTCTCCGGGAGCTGAAATACATACACAACTTTCTCCTCCTGATTTCCCTCTCTCCGACGAGCTTGCCTTCATCAAAAGTTCAGGAGAGAGCCAATTCGGATGTCCCACTTGATCATATGTTGGTGCAAGCCTTTTTTGTGTGCATGTGGGGTCCGATGCGCCATCCACGAACCCTGCAACTCCAAAATCAGCTATAACTGCTATGTGGTCTTTATCGGTGCCATTGTTTGCAGTAAACTCTTTCACAAGGATATTGTCCTGTTTGTATGATACGTCAGATGGTGTGTAAGAATGGTCAAAGGTCTCAAATGACTGACAGCCCGAAGATCACCATGAGCGATTTTCTTGGAGTGCACTATAGGTATTGTAATCGTTTAGATCATACTTGTTACAATGAAAAAGTACTTACAGTATGTAAGCCCTGCACTAACGCCTCGAAGCTGTATGAATATTAGTACTGTACGATTGAAGACAGAAACGAGCTTACCAGGTCTAACTTCTTCTTCTCAGTAACTGGCGAACAATCACACACAAAATCTTTGAGACTGCATTTACAAACATCCATCACAAGCCCTGGAAATTCATTGGGGAGTTGACAGAAACCACGAAGAGGGAGGATGTTCTTGTGATCTAATTGTTTCCATATCCATGCTTCTCTTCGGACCCTCTATTATCGTTAGAAACAGTTGTATCAGTACCAGTCGTCAAGCAAATGTAAGTTAGAACTAACATTAAGTATTGTATCATTATCAAGACCGCTTTTCACAGTGGGTTCTTTGACAGCGTACTTGTATAGCGTGTTATTTCTGCAAAAATAAGAATTCAATTGTAGACTCACACAAGACGTCCCTCCCGGCACATATCGTTCGTAAACAACGGAAAACGACCCGAACCCAAGCTGACGTCCTTTTTGTGAAGACAAACGAACGTCTTTCAATCCAAGTTCTTCCATACCTATACATGCAGTTCAGAGTGTAATATAATAAGGGTAGGAACATGTAATCACCGAGTGCATTCAGAGCCGCTAGTGCCTCATCAACCTCAGCATCAGAAGTGCTAGAAAATAATGCATCAGGGGAATTCTGCTGTCATTTTATCCAAAAGCAAGGGATTGACATACGTGTCCTAAAAAGCTTTCAGCATAAAGGATTAGAAGCCATTAGTAAAATGACAAACCCTGCTTTTTTGCAGTAGTGCTTCTGCAAGGCGATCAATGCAGTGAACTGAATGCTCCCAGAGCTTTGCTCTTGCAGGCAAATCATTTCCACCAGACCCCCGTGACTCGTTAAATGATTCTCGCATTCTTGTCGTGCATTCCAGAGCAATATAAACGATGCTATTGCAGCCAGTGAGATGCAGAACGATACCTAAACCTCAGAAGCTTCACATACGGAGCAGAATAACCGAATAACTGTGTTGCCAAGCTGACACACTTTGGCTTCTGAAGAAGAGTAATTATGTTCCTCCCAGTCGCCTCGATTTTGTTGCCGATTATCTTTAATATCGGATCAAGTTTTGTTCCGGATAACTCCTTGCATTGAATAAGTACACAAAATATCAAACAGTTAAATGTAAGGAAACGTACAGATGAGGACAACTGTTCCAGCAGTCGGATGATACTGCTGTTCAAAGCCTTTAAATCCTTCCATACTGGCGCAACTGTTGCTTGTCAAACAGCTGACAATAATTGCAGAAATACGGTAGCAGATACCTGAACATTCGAAATCTTTAAGTGCAAGTGCTTGACGCAAACTCCACCAGTCGAGGAATTCGGACTCCTTGTATCCGAAAAAATGCCACGGTGAATCCGGCACGTCAAGACCTACATTGCGATCCTTTTGAGCTATCAATGAACTATACTTCTATGCGGATATACTCACAACTAAATCTAACCTCCCATTCACTGGATGCAATGTCATAATAGACATTTTGTGAGATTGACAAGTTTTTCATGAATGCAAAAATAGAGATTTCTTCAAATGATTGCCGCATTTGAGACGTCCTCTCGAGTGTGCTTGAGTCACGTGTAATCATCAAATCATCAATAATATAACCCCACCTTATATCCTGTCTCTATTCGTTGTAGACGGTCCTTCAGATGCGTCTTCTCCTTACGTTTTTCTGTACTGCTTGGTAGCAAGCTTCGAAGCGCTGCACGTATGCCACCTTTGTCTGATCTACAGAAATGCTCAAAGTCGGCCTTTGACCTTGAGGTCAACATTATTTGTTATTTTCAGTGCCAGTAGCATAATTGATACTTCAGAACACGTACGAGTCATATTGCAGTCTGAGGCCAATACAGACATTGTCTGCCGGATCATTACCATCAAACATGACCATCGATTCTGTGGTCCTTCGCGTGTTGTCAACTCTTGCTAGATCCTTGGCCAAGTCTTTCTCCTGCATTACACGATTGCCATCAGTCTTGCATAATTGGAGTAAATCCGTGTGCAAGACGTTTACTTACATCTCTGCGTAGTGAAGCTGGCATCTATCGATTCGGGCAGCTTGGTTTGGATGCGGTGATTCGTGGTCTTTGAAGTCAGAAAACTCGTTGTGCAGTGGGTTATGAGGCAGGGACAAACAACAGTGCTACCCGCTGTTGCAGGGAAAGAAAAATAAAATACGTCGCAACCTGTTGCAAAGAATATGAGTGATAGCATTACATATAAGAAAACAAGCACTGTATATAATTAAACTATGGTTCGTTGAGTATTTCAAATTATGAAGAACAATAAAACCAGGAAAGGAAAGGGTCTCCCATACGGCTCAGTCACACAGAACACGCGCGACAGTGCACTTCTTCGTTCCTATTTCTTCATGTCCGCTGACATTCCTTCGTGGCGAAAAAAAAACATCAAGATTGAACATGACCTTATCCCTGATGAAATTGTATGGCGAGACCGACAGAAGATGCTAGAGCGCCATGGATATCTTCTTCGGCCACGATTTCGACCAGACTGGATACCTTCTTGGTTGAATACCAACAAATCACCACTTCTGTTTGAAGATTCCTTCTTTAATCCTGTGAGGTTTCTCTCTTTTAAGATGCCTTATCACTTCACTGAAGTTTCTCCTAGATGCCAATGATTATTGATGCCAAGCGGATGTCTGATGGGACACAGGTTATCATTAAGGCGGTCGAACGAAACGCAAAGGAATCAAATATCGGCTTGTACCTTTCATCTGGTGATCACGCAAATGATTCGGAAAACCACTGTATCCCCTTTTACGAGATTGTTAGGGATGACGAAGCTCCATCTCTCGAATTTATCATCATGCCCCTTCTGCGCCCATTCAATGATCCTCCTTTTTTCAGTGTTGATGAGGTGTTGGACTTTATGCAGCAGACCCTACAAGTATGATTTTCTCTTCGTATTTGTCTCTTGTAAGCACAACTCAAGATGGCCAAAATCAGGGGCTAGGTTTTATGCACAAACTAGGTGTCGCTCACAGGTGAGAATTTCATGAACTGTACAGGGCTGAAACAATGTCATTAATTATTATAGGGATTGTTCGGATGAAAATATAATGTTTGATGCTGCAGAGATGTACCCAAAGGGCTTTCATGCAAGTCTCTGGAGTTTCGATGCAGCGGGAAACGTGGCGCGTCCACTTCGTCGAAGTGACGTTCGTTCGGTCAAATACTACTTCACGGACTTCGGTCTATCATCACGGTTCAAGGAGGGAGAGCCGCGATTGGTGAGTGGGCGGGAAGGCCTGGACCAAGATGTACCAGAACTCTCAAGCTTCAAAACGTACGATCCATTTGCTGTTGATATTTATATATTGGGCAATGTTTTCAAAAGGCATTTAACTACGGTATGCACAATTTCCTGCATATGGTGGAGTTCTATACTGAAATGAAATAGAAGTTTACCAATATTCAATTCCTAACTCCTCTCGTCGAGAGCATGACTCAACAAGTGCCAGAGAAGCGTCCATCGTCAGCCGATGCATTAAAGCAGTTCAATGAACTCGTCTCAGACATCCCTGGATATGCACGAAGATGGGTTCTTAAAGATGTTGGGGGAGGAAAATTAACGTCAGTCATTCAGGATGCGGGCTCGGTTCGACGCGAATGCTTTTACATTCTCAAATCCCTTCTCGGTACGTTCGAACACCTCAAACATTATGCGCAGTGTATACTCATCTAATCGAGCGACTCTCATATCTACAGGGTCTCCTCGCCGGTTCTTGTTCTCCACTGCTCGGCCTTCATGATTTCCTGTTTATATACCTTTGAGAATGTAGACAATTAAGTCACTCCTTCTATCGGATTAATTTCTAAGAACCACTGTTCTTGTTTTACTGCGGATCTGAGAGTAAAGATTACTGCATAAAATCCTTTAGTCATTGAAAAAGATTTATTTGTTCGTGTGTCTGAGCGCAAATAAATAAGACGCGAACTTAATTGGCAGGTGAAAAACCTGTCCTTATCCAACTTCTTCTCTGGCATGGTCGACTTTGTATCCTTAGTCCTGGGGTTTCCCGCAACTGTCGAGGGTATTGTCAAGACATGTAGGGTAGTACACGATTATCGCCAATTGCAGGACGATCATAGGTTAGCAATTAACCGGGCTATCTTTGGAACGAAAAAGCTTGCCTACTACGTTGCGTTTATCAACGTCAAAGCAGTCCATACAGATCCTCAGAGCTTGGAAGCTCGCCGACAGCACCTACTCATAGAAGCATTCTTGCATGCAAGTGATGCAATGCTGACTATGGCATACGTTGTCGAGAGCTGGACAGTCAGGCTACGAATGGACACAGCAAAAAGTGGTAGGGAGTATATGGCTCGTCTTGCTGCAGCGGTAGCGGAGAAGTTAGCGCGAAGCCAGAAAAGTTCAAATGTAACAGGATTCGATCGTTCTCGGATGGGTAAACTGGTCTCTGAAGTTGCATACCTTGCAATGGGCTGCCGCCAAATCAACGATTCCATGGATGCACTCGAAAGATGGACTGGAAACCTCAGGGATATACTTCTATCTTTCCAAGATTTGAGGTCTGTTAGGGATCCGTTTCCAGGCTCGGAGGATGAAATGAAGGACATTGCCGATGAACTACTGCTTATCTCTCGGTTGAAGACTCGCGCAGAACAAAACGAGACGGTGAATCATATAGTAGCTTCGGAAATCGACACATATAAAGACCTAGACGAAATCCATCCGACCGGTTTTTATTCAATCGAGAAGGGCCGTTACATGGGCTGCATCATTGACAGACGCGACATGAACTACCTCATTGCACAGGAGAAGGGAGAGCAGGCTGTCAGCGAGACAGACAATATTGCGCGACTCTTTGCAGAAGAACGTTCGGGGACAGCAAATGTGTACACTGCCAGCTTTGGAATCCTACGTTGTTGTGGATGGGCTCAGGTGTCAACCAGATTCTTAAGCACAGAGCACGATTTGGTTCTCAGGCCACCTTCAGGAACGAGCTCTCCACGTACCCTGCGTATGCTTCTCCTCGATGGTCCTCCACAGCATCCACTGGAATCACGCCTCCAATTTTGCATTCAGCTTGCAACGTCTGTACTCATTGTTCACTCCTTGAATCTGGTTCATAAGGACATTCGGCCAGACTCGATACTCGTTTTCGAATCGCTCAAACCACTCAATGCCAAGGAAGACGATTTCTTCCCGAAAAAGCTCGGTTCTCCTTATCTTGCCCGTTTTGATCGCGCACGATCCGAGGATGTCGACACTGTAATAAATCCCTTTGCTTATTCACCCTATATGAGGGATTTATATACTCATCCTGTCCATACCACGAGTGCAGAGCACATTCGGTATAGCATGCGCGATGACATCTACAGCCTTGGAGTCGTTCTTATCGAGGTGGCGCTCTGGAAATCTTTGTTCTCCTGGTCAGAACAGAAAAAATGTTACGACGCAGACTTCTCTTGGTTCGATTTCTCAGTTGAAAAGTACAAACAAATATTTACAGACAGGGGTCAGCCAGAGTACAGAAACAGGGGTTGGCTGGTACGTTGGGACTTAATTGAACTAGCGGAGCGCGAAATTCCGGTCATCATGGGCACGACGTTCAAGGACGTAGTCGTGTCGTGTCTGACGTTCGGAGAACCATCGAAGCCTACCCTGGACGAGTCTGTCAAGAAGATCATGGAGGCCGGCTATCAGCCACAAGGCGAAAGCGTGCTGTTTGTCCAGAATATCTTGTCGAAGCTGCGGAGACTTAATTTATCTTGCAGAGATCTGTCTCCACAAGCGTGAAGATGGGTCGTCATGTAGCGTTTGCTCCACAATGTGTGAAGAATAAGGATTTGTCAAATATACGACGGCCCAGCTCGGACAGGCTATGTTGTTTTTTTCGACTTATTTGAAGTATGAGCAAAGGGCAATTGCAAATCTCACCAAGTCGCATTGTCCAAACAAAAACTTTCCATCTGCTTCCGTGCAGAAAGTGAAACTCTAGACACACGGAAGCGGTATCGATTGGACAAAGTCAATTTGGACTTACCAACTTCGTCAAACACAATAGTACACGATCAGGCCTTCATTCACGCGAACCTTGTAGCGTGTCCTATCAATTCATATGCCCGCGGAAGATCTGACCCTTAAAGTTCTAAGTGCCGAATACGGAAATATTTGATCCTGTGGACGCATGTTGTACCTCGTATTCGCCGATCAATATTTGGATCCGTATCTCGATCAACGGCCTTGTGGGCGATTCGGTCAACCGAAGACTTCTACGTCAAATTACTTGGACGTAAGGAAAATTAGATTGTGTACCCTAGACACCATGTGATGGCCATTATTGGACAGCGTGAGTCCTTATCGGTCCACTCCTTGTTTTACTTGACACAGAGCAACGCTTGTGTAAACAGTAGGCATGACGAAGGCATTTTTCATTCAACCAATATTGGTTTGTCTTTCACAATTGCAAGGAAACTCTGCAGTGATCGAGTGTTCCTCAGTGTAGCTTGCACTCTAAAATAGGATGAACAAAGGGAATATCCAAGAGACCGTCCCAACACCCGGTTGTTTCAAACGCCAAAAAAAGCTCTGATCTGTCTTGCTATCCAACGATATCTTCGATATGAGTCAACACTTTGTAGTGCTTGTCTGTGAGTTAGGATCACAATGTGCCATTGAATCTACAAGCAACTCAACTTCAAAGAACTTAACATTCGTGTATTCCTGTAATTGACGCATCATCTGACATACATACAATAAGACATCAGGCTGTAAAAACACTGACAATCGAGATGAAGGATGCTATAACGAGACTCGACAAGTGGACAACTCGTCTAACGCAACTTCTGACATCTCCTATCTTGAAGTCGCGCCTGAAAACGACGGACTCGGGCGACAATCATAGGAATATGCAGAATCCGAAATTACGGTCACTACCATCGATGCTACAGAGGTAGAGTCTGCCTTCGACATCGACTCAAGTCATAACTCCGAGCTTTATTGGCCACAATATAGCGACTATGCTGGCTGCTTTGTCGACTTGCGTGATGTCACGACACGGCACGACTTATCGGAATCGAGGAGGAACGCCATTATCTATTGCACATCTATTGGCTTTTTGCCAAGCACGTCAGATAACGTGAGTACCACACTCGAACTACGGCATCCTTCTATGCCTTGTGTATGCTATTGCGAACAATTGAGAGCTGCTCTTTTTCCTTCTTTAATCCGGAATGCCTACTCCCATAGCTTGACGATCGAGCCTCTGATTAAAAGCGCGTCATAAAAGAGCTAGAAGTTGTCAAAGACTACTCGAAGGAGCTCCTGCTTTTCAGTGAGAACAGAGTCGTAAGAAAAGAACGGAGTAACCATGAAAACCCCATCGCTCTGTTGATCTGCGTGAATGTGGAAATAAATTAAAAAAACACAGAAGAATCATTCACTCGTGGGACTCTGGAGTCGTTAACCACGAAATAACACCGGTAATGTTATTGAAACGTTGTTGAGAAGCTAAAAGGAAGTTATTCAAGCGACAACCTCAGTAATCCAGAGATAATAGAACTCACGTAGTTTAACTGTTTTTATCGGTGGCATTCTGGAAGAACTTCGCTTTGTTTGGCCGTGTCATGACACCTGACAACTATCTCTGCGGGTATGACTGTGTCAGAGAGGAAATGCGATTCACGAAGTGTCAACGTGCCAAGGAGAGTAAAGTATTAAAAAGCCGAACAGATTCTCCCAAGTGCAGCGGTATCCAAACCGCCATTAATTCTCCGACCAATAAGTCTGTATGGACCCTGACGAACGATGGCACCCTAGGCAAGGTGCAACGCATCAGCTAAAAGACTCTCTTGACTGAGAAGATATCTTCTGCAAAGACAGAGAACTCCAGGACTAAAATCTTCAAAATATCAGTCGCGGCAGTGCCTTGTTCCCAGCCATCGTAGTTGAACAACTTTTATGTTAGCAGCTGCTCCATAGGAAACGGAGGGTAGAAACGCACCTTGGACGAACGGATCCAGCATAGCATCCTAAATTGTGTCAGTCAAATGTGATTTTGATTCGAAGACATCGACTCGAATTGACAGTTAGTCAGATACCCGCGACTTAGGGAGTGCACTGGCGACAATTGAGTATGGCATTGTAGGAAAAGCGTTGGGAAAGATGAAAATTATCGAGTTGCAGAGCATCTATGTAGCGACATCAGTCAGTTCCACTTCACGCAAGGGAGGGAAGATAGGTCAAATAGCACAATTAAGGGACAAATGAGAGAAAGGTGCGCTTACCTAAAGCAAGCCTGAAAATAGGTCTTGGAGATTGTTGAATTCCAAAACCAACACATTGTCCGTCGCGGCGCACACTTCATTGTCACGAGTGAAATCTTGCTTTCAGCAATGACGCACGGCTGCTAATAGAAATAGAAATGCATTGCGCGAGTAGAAAACAAGCCTGGCCAACGATGCTAAAAGGAAGACGATGCAAATTCCAGTGTGGATATGCTGTCAATGTCATGTGACACCCAAAGCAACACCGAATCACATGGGG